ATTTTCTTTCCCTTGTTTCCTTTTTTTTTTTTTTTTTTGTTGTTGTTGTTTTGGTCAAAGATTTCCCCCTCCAAAAAATAACTAGCATGGGTGGAGCCGGCAGGGTCAGAAACTGGTGCTTGAAGGGAAGGGGTGCTGGTAGCACTGGGGGGCTGCTGGGGAAGCCAGCGGAGGCGAAGGGAAAGCAGCAGCTGAACCTGCATTAAACCAAAGGGTTTCTTTGCTTTGTTTACACGCCTGGCCAGCCTCACCGCCCGAGAGGATCTCCCTGGATCTAGGTTTTTGTCCTGGAAGCGTTGGGGAAGGTAGGGACAGGCCAGAGCCAGGGACTCGGGGACTCTCCACTCCCCAGAGCTGCCCGCGATGGCCCTGGGGGAACCCAGGTGGGTACCCGGGCTGGGGACATCCCCATCCCCTGCCCTGCCACAATCTTTTCCTATTTACCCCTTAAATTTTATTTTTTTTTTTCCATCCTCTTTGGCGTTGGGTGGGAAGGTGATGCTGGGGAGGTGAGACGAGGTCCGAGGGGGCCGGAGGGTGGAGGGGAGGGAGGATGTGTATAAAGTGACCCTTTCTCTCCCGCCGCCGCCTTCGCTGCCGCATCCCTCGTGCTGTATAAAGGAAATAGCATTGCTGTGTATTTGTACTCTGAACTTCCGTGTGTCTGCTTTGGCAGACGGTAAACCCTTGTACAGTAGATCTAGCTGCATGTAATCTGTATGGACAATGGCATTATAAAATGCAATAAAATAAATTACCTATCATGCTGCTGTGCTGGCTGCTTTGTTATGATTATTGATTTTTTTTTTTTTTTTTTTTTAAATCTGCATTTTTAATCCTTGTAGGCTCTTCAGCATGAGGGAGCGATGGTCAGCCTGGGTGTCAGAGGGGAGAGAAGTGACTTGCTCTGCTCTGTCAGTGTTGGGGTAGCTGGGGGGGGGGCTTATATCTACCCCTCACCAGCTCGTGCCCTCCGGCACCACCACGTGAACTCGGGGGACTGGCTGAAATTCCCGATTCAGGTGGGTTTGCTGAGCTGGCCAGCCTTGGGGTCACATCCTGCCCGTGGGGTGTTGCTGATGCTGCTGGTGGTGTCCCAGCAGCGGAGCCCCGTGTCTGTGGGTGCTGGGAGCTGTACGGTTGTGGTGCTGGGAGCTGTAGGGTCATCATAAGCTGCCAAACCCAGGGGGTTTGTTGCCAGCACCAGCAGACACTGTAGAGCTGCATTGGCTGATGGGGAGCTGGGAGATGCTCATTTTTCTCTCTAAATTCAATCCCCTCTGAGGCCCAGAGGGGCAGAGCCACAGAGAGAAGACTGGGAGCACCCACCCAGTGCCCAAAACCTCCCCGGGTGCTGACACGTTGCTCCCTGCATCCCAGAAACCTGGGAAGTGCCTGAATTTCCCTGGATGTGCTAATTGCAGGGCAGAGCTCTGCCAGCCCCCTGCAGCACCGGCTGGTGGACTCCTGCGGCTGGGATGGGATGGGATGGGGTGGCAGTGACCCCTGGAAAAGCGCAACAGCAGCTCAGACAGGACCATCCCTCCTCTTCCTCACCAAACAGCCCCTGCTCCATCCTTATGGGATGGGTTTTCCTAAAAGCTGGGGTGAAGAGGAGCTGCTGGCCGTTCGCTGGAGTTACCGCAGTAGGAGATCTGCTTGTACAAAAGGAAGTTAATTATTAAGAAGCTAGTACGTAAGAGAATTTTTGCCACTGCTCTTAGGGATTTTTTTCTCCTCCCTCTATATTTATATTTTTATTTTTTAAGACCAGTTCTGCAGGGCAGCCCCTCCACGGCACATTTAACACCTCCACGTCCTTGTTCTTCAGAGGCCTCTTAATCCAGCAGCAGCCACCTGCATCCCTCGTGCCGTGGGGCCCACGGGCAGCCGGACACCCGCCACCATCGAGCCCACGGCTCAGCCCCGGTCAAAGCCCGGCTCTCCCAGCACAGCGGCGAGCGAGGAGGCGGCTTCCCGGCGGCTCGGCACCCGCAGCCGGAGCACTGGAGGTTTAGTCAGAAGCTCTCGGTGCTCATCGAGGCTCTGAAAGCAAGGCCAGGTTTGCAGCTTTGATATCTGTTCTTTAAAAACAAAAAAGCGTGGTTTTGGCACTCCCCTCTGAGAATCGACTTCCCAGGCCATCAGGGCTTCGCCATCAGGGATTTTTGGCCATTGCATTATTTTTTTTCCTGAATATCCTCCCTCTGAGTCCCAGCCAGAGCTGCAGCAGCAAAGGGGACAGGGATGAGGACGGGAGAGGGCAGAGAGCAGATTTCGGCCGCCACTGCGGCCCCCAGCCGCCTCGCAGCCCCGCAGTTCGCAGCCCAGCGAAATGGCTGGCTCCCATCTGTGTCTAGACCCTGCCAATATTAATAGACTTTTATATCCCCTTTCCCTCTGCTGCTCTGTCTCGGCCAAACTTGCTTAATCTTTTTTCCAGTGGCCCTTTTCCAGGGCTCTTTGAACCGCGGCCAGCTTGCCAGTGGCTTCCCAGGGAGCACTGAACGTGCCTCTGGCAGCCCCTCACCATCCACCCGGGGGACCCAAGCCAGCACCCATGGGTGCCTGAGCCGTGCAGAGCGGCTGGTGTCCCCGTTCTCCCGGCCCCTCAGCTCCCACGGGGAGGGCGCGGGGGCTTGCGGCTGGGCGCAGGCTGTCGATCACTCGGGGGAGCATGTGGCTTTGATTGATTTAACACTTGGAGAAAGAGCTTTTAACTTTTAAACTAGAAACCTTTTTTCTTTTTCTCTTTTCCTTTTTTTTTTTTTTTTGTGCTATGGACATGAAAGCTTTCTTGGTTTGATTGCTAAACCAGTATGTGGATGGGGGAACAGACTAGGACCAGCCACCCCCTTCCCTCCGCTCTGGGGTGCAGAGCATCTTCATGCACCCAGAAAATGGCAGCAGGAGGCACCCACCCCTCTCATCTTCCCTCCTGGGTGCTCTGGAGCCCGCACCCATGAGGATACCACCCTCCTCTCTGGCTAGCTCGATGTTTTGCCCCAAATTGGTGGGAGTTTCACACACCCCTGAAGCATGATGTGGGGTTTGCTGCTGGGAGCAGAGCCCCTGACTGGGGGCAAGTGGCTGCCTTGGATGCACACAGCCAGCGTGACTTTCAAATAGTTAAAAAGAAAAAAAAAAAAAAAAGAGGGAGTGCTTTCGGTTGTTTTGGATTTTTTTATTTTTTTAATTTGAAATGAGCATTAAGGAATTGCAGCAACTGGGGCCAGAAAGGGATGTGGCCAAAGCGTTCTTGCTCCAAGATCTGTTCCCCTCCCTGAGCCGCTGGTGTCTCAGGGGGTCTCTGGCCCCTGTGGCTGTATCCCCCCCCCCAGGACCAGGGCTGAGAAGGGGTCCTGAAACAGCACGTGCAGGCAGAGGGCACCCACAGAGCCCTCAGCTCTGCAGGGGCCCCCACCCATGGCCCGCTGTGGGTTTGCTCCCTGCTTTAGTCTCCCTTCTTGCACCCACTTTGCTTCTCCAGTTTGTTCATGGAACTGGAGGCTGCTGCAGGAGGGGCAGCGCCCGGGGGGTCCCATCCCACCCACGGCACGGATAGAGATGAATTCCTGTAAGAATTGCTCTTCAACTGTGTGCAGCTGATTTATTTTTCTCTTGCCACTGAGTTAATACCAGCGTCACATTGTGCCCGGAGCAAGGCACAAGCTGTGACATGCTGCGGCCCGGGGTTCTGAGCCCCTTGCACTGGGGGTCTCAGAAAATGGTAGCTTTAGTAGCAGGAAGGAAAAGACCAGGAATGGGGGGAGTGGGTGCTGGCTGGGTGTAAGCCACTTTTGCCCCCCCAGCCTCTCCAAAAGCCTTGGTCTGTGCAGAAATCTGGAACATCAGCTCCAGGCCTGCAGGTCCCCCCGGCACAGGACGGGGAGGGAGGACAAAGGGGACTTTGTTGGCAGCGTGAGCGCACAGCATCGCTGTCTGTGGGGGGATCCGGCTGCCTGCGGTGCCCCGGGGGTGGCGGGGAGCCCCCGGCACAGCTCGGGCCAGGGCAGCCGAAACGGGGCAGTCACCCCAAATCCAAATCTGCTTTGCTGCCCCTGCCCAGGAACGTGCTCGGCGTGAGCCCCAGAGACGCGCTGACCCCAGCCCCGTGCACGGACGGTGCTGCCGAGCGTCACCATCCCTGGGTGCACCCGGATCCCCCTCAGCCTCAGTTTCCTTCCTCGCCAAAGGCCGTGGCGATGCTCAGTCCCCTGCGTGGCTGGGACGTGGCTCACACCCCCCA